AACATCCTAATTATTATAGACAGGTTTGAGTGTGAGATTGGGATTATTCAATCTACATAAAAAATATACTATATAATTTTATATTTCATCAGTCGATTTCCTATAGTGGTGTCAGTTGGACCTTTGGTCAATACTTAGTGTCATAGAATTTTGAAAGGTGCAGATCACATAACTGCCCTTCATAAGCTGTCATTTGTCACACGTCATCTCTACATTTCCGTCAGACCGGGAGCCCATTCTGTCTCCGGCTTCTATACAATATGTAGCTTCTCCATATAAATTTTAAAGTGTTTGTTTGTCTTAGTGTATTGTATTTTGTATTGTTATGTCCAAATTTTACATTTATGACATTCTACTATGTCGGATAGGCCACAATTGACGAAGTAAGTCTATAAACGTTTATCACATATAAAAAATTTTTTCAACCATAAACTTGGAGTTTTTTATCCAAGTGAATTAATTTTCCTTTTTATAAAAAACGTTTCTTGGCTTATTTCAGATGCCCCTGAAGATGATCTATTGATCGAAAGTACTTGGGCAAGATTAAATTAATCACCGTGTTCGATAGTTGCCTTGTATACCCTCAAAGTTAAAAAAAAAAATAACGCTACTGACTGTGGCATATAAAATACTGTCAAATATTGTGTATGACCGATTGAGGCCATATGCGGAACAAATAGTTGGGGGATATCATTGTGGTTTCCGCAGGCAGAAGTCCACAATAGATCAGATCTTCGTCTTGAGGCAAATCTTGGAAAAGACTAGTGAATTTAATATATACACACATCTTTTCATTGACTGTGAGAGTGCCTATGATAGCATCCATCGAGAGTTTCTGATCCATGCACTGAAAGAGTTTAATATACCAACTCAACTCATTGATATAGTAAAAGAAACACTTAAAGTACAAAGCAAAATTCGAATTCAAAACGAACTAACAGATACAATACATGTGAGAACGGACCTACGACAGGGAGATGCCCTATCCTGTATTCTATTCAATATCACATTAGAGAAAATAATTAGGGAGTCAAAAGTGAACACCAGAGGAACAATAATAATAAAAAGTGTACAAATATTGGCATTTACAGATGATGTTGATATCATATCTAGAAGCGAAAGAGAGATGATAGAAGCATTTAATGCGATAGAAAGAGCGGCACAACACAGTGGCCTAAACATTAACGAAATAAAAACCAAATACATGAAGGCCGAAACAGGTCAAAAGAAATCGACAGGCCAAAGAAACCTACAGAATCTGACAATACGAGACTATAACATCTAAAACGTGAAAAGTTTTACATATCTAGGTTCACTAGTTACCGCAGATAATAATATCAGTGAAGAAGTTAAGAGAAGAATACATACCGCTAATAAAACATATAATGGACTAATTAAATATCTAAGATCTAACAACATCACAAGAAAAATCAAATGCAAAATATACAAGACCCTGATAAAACCGGTCCTTGTATATGGATCAGAGATGTATACACTGTCGAAAAGCGATGAGAACCTATTAGGTACATTTGAACGAAAAATCCTTAGACACATATATAAGGGGGTAAAGGAAAATGACATATGACGCAGAAGATATAATTTTGAACTATACACAGCATACAATGAACCCGAGATCGTAACATCCATAAAGATCGGACAACTGCGCTGGATGGGCCATGTTGAACGGATGTTGGAGACTGAAACGCCAAAACATATAATGAGGAAAACACTAGTGGGGAGAAGGTCAAAGGGAAGACCCAAATTTAGATACATGGAACAAATGGAACAAGATCTGAAAACACTTAAGATTACCAAGTGGAAAAACAAAGCAAAGAACAGAACAGAATGGCGGAAAATCCTAGAACAAGCCAGGACCCAGAAAGGGTTGTCGAGCTACTGATGATGATGAAATGTGATTCCTTACAAGGTGTTTCGCCAATGTCACGCCATCCTTATTTATACTTAAATGAAGAAATGCGGTTTTTGATTTGTGTATACGTCCGACAAAATTTTTGCGGTCCCTAACAATAATAGAGGTAGTTTACCAAAAGAAATGGCCTTTAATCAAGTAATCAAGAAAATGAATTTTAATTTTATAGAAGATCCCACTGCAGGATCACTATTTTCATAAAGTAGTTAATCAAACTCACAATTTTACATACAATTTTATACAGTTAAAATTAGGAGAGTAAATATTTTTAATTCAATTAATCGTAATAAGTTTTGAACAAAAATTCTATTTTGTTAAATTATTTTTTAAATAAAATATGCTGTTCATGACCTATATGCATGGTTTTTATATCAATTAAAAGCTAAGTAGTGCGTAACGCTATTGGTTTTAAGTATCAGTTATGTGAGTTTCTAAAGCATGCGTTTATAGATGTTAATTTTACTTTATCTTTGATACCTCGCGTTTTTAACAGCTTTCAACCCTAATTTGCGATGATTTTTTCTCAGACAACCTTATATCATGGGCAGCGTATTTTATTTAAAAATTCAATGAATGAAATAAAATTTTTGTTTAAAAATTAATTACTATTGATTTAATAGAAATTGAAATTAAATAAAATATTTGTGGCAACGTTCTGTGGTTAAAACTAATGTTTACATCATATTTTTTGATGATTCGCCGTAAAGTTTTGAATTTATTCACGGTTTTATGGTTTTTATGATTATTCAAATGACAAATCATTAGCAAAAAAACGAAAAAACAAATTTCAATTTCAATACATTGTGTTGAAATTGAAATGTTTTACAACGGCACCATTCTATTAAGTAATATTTGGTCCAATAGCCATAGTTTGTTCCAAATAACTTAACCCTACGCTACTTATCAGTAGTTATAACTCACCCTGTATAAATATTTTTTTAGTAAATTATTAGGGGGCGGTATTGAATCGATGTCCATTACAGAAGTTTTTGGGGAATTTAGAACAGGAAAGACACAATTGTCCCACACCCTATGCGTTACAGCACAGATGCCAGGTGCTAATGGATACCTTGGAGGGAAAGTTATGTTTATTGATACGGAACACACTTTGTATCCTTTTTTATACTTACTTAATATTATGTTAATTTCACTTAAAGCCATCGATAGAATGCGATAAAATAAATACTTGATATTTCAAGAGTTAATGTACTTATTTTAGAATTTCTCAAATTGTTTACGTTTTTGGCAAATTTTTTATGCTTTATTGGGTCACAATTGGTTTGATTATTTATATTTGATACATTTTTTAATTCTTGGACCATAAGTCAATCGTCATACAGCTAATATGATAATGGTTGCGAATAAGTTTGGCAACCAGACCTAGAGAATTCTTCTAGAGAAGTTTCTACGACATTACAGTTTCATGTATTAGTGCAATCTTGTAGTTTTTTAATATCAAAGTAGGTTGATTGATATATAAAATGCTAGTTATATAACATAATGATGAACAATTAATTAAACCATTAAAAGAAATTTATTTAATTTATATTTTAAAATAATATATTATTTTACAACACACATTACAACTTCATTACAATAGTATATATAACAAGCGAGTCTTCTACAGCTGGCGCCGCTTCTCGCATCCTAATTTCCAGCGTTTTCTGTCGAAGCAATCTTCAGTTGTTAGATCTCTGGCGGTCATTGCATCGTCGACATAGTCTCTCCAGGATCGTCTTGGTCTACCTCGTTTTCTTCTAGTTGGCGGAGTCCATTCTTCTATTTTTTTGGCCATCTATTTTCCGGCATTCTCTGAAGGTGTCCATACCAGTTAAGTCTTTTGGCTTCGATTGTGTATATTATGTCTAGATCGATTTCCATTTCTCTCAGAATATCTTCGTTTCTCACCCTATCAAGTCTAGTGAGCTGGCAACATCGTCTCCAGTAGATCATTTCCATGGCCTTAATTTTTGATTTGTTTCTTTGGTTTATTTCCCAGAGTTCGGCGCCATACAGTCCAATACTTTCTATTATTGTTTTATAAATTCTTCTTTTATTTTCTTTTGTTATTTTTTTATTCCATAATAGTCCGTGTAGCTGTCTGGTGGCTGATCTTGCTTGGCCAATCCTGGAATGTATTTCTTCGCTACTTCCTGCTTTTGATGTTATTTGGACTCCCAAGTACTTAAAATTGTCTGTTGGTTTTATAGTTCCCATTTCGATTTGTAGGCTTTCTGGTTTTTCTCCTACAACTAAGTACTCAGTTTTTTGTATATTAATTGTGAGGCCCCATTTGGTGTACTCATCTTCCAGTTTTCTAAGCATGTAGCTTATATCACTCTCGTCTTCAGCTAGAATGGCTTGGTCGTCAGCGAAATGTATCGTGTACAATCTATCATCTCCGATTGGGATGCCCATATTGCAGCACTTTCTTCTCCACAGTGAGAGTGCCTCATTTAGATATATTTTGAAGAGTGTAGGTGCTATGCAGCAGCCTTGCTTTAGGCCCTTACTAATAGGAATTTCTCTAGTTAATCTATTTCCAGTTTTAATGTTTGCCGTCATATTTTTGTAGAGTTGTTGTACTGCTTGTATATTTTTTTTGCTTATTCCTTGTTTTTCCATTGCTACCCAAAGCATTGAAAGTGGTACACTATCGTATGCCTTTGTCAGATCTATAAAGACTATATGAGTTGAAAGGTTGTGGGCTAATCTTTTCTCGATAACTTGCTTTAGAGAGAATATACTGTCCATGCAGGATCTGCCTGCACGAAAGCCATTCTGTTCTTCTACATCTGTCATCTCTTTTTCAATTTTATTTTTTATTATTTTTCCATACAGTCTTGAGAGTGAATTTATGACACTTAGCCCCCTATAGTTTGAACAATTCTTTCTATCTCCTTTTTTGTATATGTTGTTAATATGTGCTTTTGTCCACTCCGGTGGTAAGTCGTGTCCATTATAGAATAAGGTGAAGACATACGCCAGTAATTCCCGTAATACTTGTGGGCTATGTTTTAATAATTCATTTGGTATACCTTGTGGTCCGCATGACTTCCCATTTTTTAGAGTTCGTATTGCATTCTCGACTTCCTGTACTGTTATTTCATCGTCTTCACTGAATTCCAGTTCATATGTTGTTGTACTGATGTTCGTGAATTGAGGTCTTGTTTCAGTCAAAAGTTGTGAGTAGTGTTCGATCCAAGATTTTTCTTCTATTAAATCTATTCTACTCGTTTCTTTTCTGTTTGTTCTCAGATTTTTTACCGTTTTCCATGCTTCTCTTGATCTTGTTGACCCTATATATTTGTTGAGTTCTTCGCATTTACTTTCCCAGGAAATATTTTTTGCTTTAGTTACTAAGTTTTTTACTTCTCTGTTTGATCTTGCATATGTTCGTCTATCATCTGGATCATTTGTTTGCAGCCACTTTTGATATGCTTGTTTCTTGTTGTGTACTGCATTGGCGATGTCATTCGTCCACCACAATGGAGTATTCTTTTTGTTCTTTTGGATTGTGCCGAGCGCTTCGTAAGCTGCTTCATTGATTTTATTGATTATCTCTTTATAGGTATTCTGGGCTGAGGAGTAGATCAGGTTTGCCAATTTTTGGCTAAGTCGCAGCTTATATAAGAATGATGTCGAGTCGTTTTGCAGTGCATCAATATTGTATTTAGGTAGATTCGATTCCAGGGGTTTTGATTGAGCTAGTTGGTTGTCATTTTGATGTAGTAGCCGAGGTCGATACTGTAGGTAACATTTTGATCTTACCATATAGTGGTCAGTTCCGCACTCCGGTCCTCTTAGTACTCTTATGTCTTCAACTTGTATGTGTGTTTCTTGTTTTGTGATGACATAATCTATAATTGACTTTGTGTTTCTCGTTGGTTGAACCCAGGTGTACTTATGTATGTTTTTATGTTGGTAGAATCCGTTTAGGTTTTTGAGAGAGTGCTGTTCACAGAATTCGATTAAGTGTTCCCCATTTTCATTTGTTTTAGCGTCACGATATTTTCCTACGACTTTGTCATTTATTTTTGTTCCTGTCCAAGCGTTAAAATCTCCCAACAGCACAATTTCTTTGCGGCTATTTATATTTTCAATGAGTTCCGATAAAGTTTCGTAGAATATTTGTTTAGCTGCTTTTGATGCATTTTCTGACGGAGCACATATTCCAATGATCTCGAGGTCGTGCCATTTCCACGTAATAGATGCTCTAATAATTCTCTCATTGATCTGCTCCCAGCTTTTCAGGTTTCCTTTTAAGTCTTTTTTTATCAATATTGATAACTCTGCTTGTGCTCTTTTGTCTTTCTCTACTGCACTATAAATATGTATAAAACCTCCTATGCCTTCACTACCTTGGCCTTTTTTCTTTGTTTCGGTAAGAACCGTGATATCTGATTTTATTTTCTTTACTTCTGCCATGACTTCGTCTGACTTGGTTCTCCACCCTTGGATATTCCATGTATGTATTTATATTCAAAGTCCTTGTTCGTTTGCTACGTCGTCTTCGTTTTTTCCCGTCCATATTCCGAGGCTGGATTTTAGAATTTTTGCAGTAAGTTTTTCATTACAATAGTAAATCAACAATATTGAGAATAATAAAGATATTTATTGAAACTGGTAGCTCAGCGAATCGTTGAAGGTCTGGTAGACCGAAAGGTATTCTTCATAAACAATTCTGCATTATCTAAAACCTAAGATACAACCATCAGATATCAAATTTTATCAACCATATTATTAATAACAATTTTATCAAACTTGTTATTATGAAAAGTTGTTTGGAATTAAAAACTATGTTCAAATAGGCAATTACATTCTTCTAATTGAAAAAAATTCAACTTTTTCTCAAATTACCGATACCGATTTTTATTTATTACAAATATGATAACTCTTTCGTTTTGATAAAAAATTATAAGCAAATTTTCACAAAACAAAATTCATTAAAACTCTAATGAACATTGAAGAGTTAATAATCGTTCAATTAGTAAATGTCTGCCTTGTATCATTTTAGCAATGCATTTAAATTAGTAATATCACAATAATTCATTTTGCTATAATCATTTAACGAATATTATTAGCGCTTTCAATTTACTAATTACTCAACATATCCGCCCTCTCTTTCAATGCAAGTAATTATTCCATCACCAAAGTTTTTCAATACACTTCTAACTATAACCGGAGTAATACTCTGAACACATTCTTTAATGACTCTTTCCAAATACGCAAGATACAACTTTTCCGGTAACCCCACAAGAAAAAATCTGTGTCGTCAAATCTGGAGACCAAGGGGGCCAAAAAGTTCAGAAACCCGATCTCTTACATTGAAACATAGTTCCAATTAGAAGAATGTAATTAGTTGAGCGAAATTAGTAATTGTTGACATACCTAGCATGAAATTGATAACATTTTATATCTGATGATTGAATCTTAGGTTTTAGACCATGTAAAACTTTTTATGTTGCCAACTGAACCGATTAATACCAAAAATTTAATTTTTATCAAAATGAAATTAAAACGTCAGAATAAAACAAAGAGAGGTCGTTTTTAATAACAATGTGTAAAATTTACATTTTTTTCTTTATAACTGTCTTTTTTTTACTGTATCATACGCTGTGCAATGAAGGACACAATATTTCATAAAGCATTAATATATTACTCGGGTAACATTGCTCGCGATAAAGTCCTATATTACATTTAATAAACCAATCTTTAAAAAATTTATTAAAAATCCTTTGTAAAAGGTATATATTTAAGAACCCAAACGGGCTAAGTTAGACAGGCAAAACGTTTTCGGAATCCATATTCCATCATCAGTGTCTAAGAGTACATGAATATAGCCACTAAATATATGGGTAAAAACCCGTTAACAAATAATTAATTACATTTAGTTTACAAATTTTCTTATAATGGTTTAGGATGTTAAAGTTACCGTTGGATTAGGTAACATGGCGACATATGACTCCACAGTGAAGTTGCTAGTCTTGAGACAGTGTCTTTAGTTTTTATTTTAGTCTTTATTTTGAGATTTATTATCACAGATAAAGAATATCTGCCAATATTTCTACACAAATTTCGAATTTTCCTTAGCATTAGACTACAGTCGACCCGAACGGTTACGTCCTATAGCTGAAAGATTTAATCTGGACCAGACTGCTGTTATGGAAAATATACTATATGCCAGAGCTTATAACTCAGAGCACCAGTTCGAGATGTTAAACTTGTAAGTATTTATAGTATTAAACTGTAGTATTACGTTAGCAAACCCTTTGTTGGTAAATCAAAACTTCTTTTTTTAAATTGAGAAAGCAACATTTTGTCATTGTCATTCCTGTAAACACAGTACACTACTGTTATCCGTAAACTTGTAGGCAGTATATGACGCTTTCATTCTGATCAATACAGGGTGCAAACACTTCTTGTAAAGCATTTAAGCTGATTCTTGTGATTGATCTAAATGCTGCATGTATTTTATATGGTTGGTTTCAAACAAACGAAAATTATTATTTATCTAATTTAACCTTTTTAATCTCATTTTTAGGGTCGCCGCTAAATTCCATGAAGAAGGCGGTATCTTTAAACTGCTAATCGTCGATTCTATAATGGCGCTTTTCCGTGTCGACTATACGGGTAGAGGAGAAATGGCCGATCGTCAACAAAAACTTGGCCAAATGTTGTCCCGTCTGCAAAAAATCAGCGAAGAGTTTAATGTTGCAGTTTTTATTACTAACCAGATATCTTCGGATTTTTCTGTTGCACAGTTGGAACCCGATGTACCCAAACCAGTCGGAGGAAATGTTCTTGCTCATTCATCTACCACAAGATTGGCTTTGCGCAAAGGTAAAGGCAATAGAAGAATAGCCAGATTATATGACAGCCCAGATTTAGAAGAAAATGAAGTTTCCTACATTATTACTAACGGAGGTATTGATGATGTAAAAAAGATGGAGTGAGATATTATTTGATATAAGTATATTATCAACATTTATTTGTTTAATTATTTAAGTTTAAATTATTATTACATTTAATTTATTTCGAAATAAGTTTAAATTCGATACTGAGTAAAATCTCTTTATTTGCAGGTGATACATTTCAAAAATTCACCGTGATAATAATTAATAATAATTATTAAATCAAATGAATATGTACCTATGTGTCAAATATAGTCGACTCTTGTTAATTGGTAGGTGTTCAAACCGAGCCTCAACAAATGAATGTATTTTTATTTAGTGCATGCCATTAATTATCCCTAAAGTCATTTTAAACTAATGCATCCTACATTAGATTTTGCTCTAGCGTTAGTGTACAGATAATAAATATTTTCCGTATGTCGATTTCATTACATCAAATCTTTTTTTTTTTTCTATTAACTTTTTGATATTTCTGGAATTTTCGTGTTTAAAACCATCTCTTGATGATTCTTGTTTTCATAAGTCAATACTATAATAATAAAAGGGACAATATTGAGTGACAACTAACAATTATTATCAAAATAAGGCACATAGGAATAATGACCGTCACAGGCCGTGAAACACTTATCCTTATATCAGGTACCAAAAACTGTGAATTAATAGTTGCCAATGGAATTTAAGAATGTAGTTGATAATTGATTATTTTATAAATTAAGGGCATAAAGCAATATATAATTATTATTAACGTGATACAAAGGTGAAAAATTAACAATAAAATCTCAATTAATAATGAAATGAATAAACCTTGTTAATAAAGGCACAAAAAATGCAATCAGTAGAAAATATACGAAAATAATAAAATTGATACAATTATTATCGAAAGCAATTGAAGAAGAAAAAGATTAATGAAAACAAATTAAAAATAGAATCAGTGATACATGTACGAATAATAATACTTGGTAAACGAATATAAAATGTTCTCAAACTATTAGAATGTTCAAAAACCCGACGCAATATGAAAAATGGTTCAGCAACAAACAATTGGATGGTCTCATGCCAGAGTGAACCAAAAGCCGAAATTGAAAATTTTCAGTACGACAGTTTAAAGTTATGAAGGTGTTATAAAATATACGCAATATGTTATAATCTCTTATAGGATATAAAAGGTTCTAAGACTATTCAAAAGAACATTTCTTTAAGACTTTTAGTAACAGCACATGATTTTGTCTACTTTTAAAGCTGTTTGGTCAGCATTTGCAGTACATGGTTCACTTTGGCAAACTTTTAGCACTTAGATCTGTCTGGCATGAGAAGTATAAATAAATTGTTCTTTTTGTTTGTAATCAAGTTTATTAATACATCGTTAAAACTAACAATACAAAAGAATTAAATTTTCAAGAATTATGAGTAATTAAATTATACAAATGTGTAAAAAAACTAATAGTAGCAATATTTAGATCGCATTGTTCATCTCATTTTCCTCTTCATTGTTATTGTCATTCTCTTCTTCAATGTCATCTTCCAATACTTCACTTTGTTGAAGTTTATTGTAAAATTGGTGATGGCATGGTGGTACGAAATGCAAAAGTGATCTGATATCATTAAGTTTTGCTTGACTTAATTTTCTTCCTTCGGGGTAAAGAATGCTTAAGTTTAAAGAAGCTAGGTTTACAGGTCGGCCTTTCAATCTCTTATTTAGATTTACTGAATAAAATTGTATTTCTTTGTTATGTGTGTATTTAAATTCCATAACTCCTGGATGGTCTTGAGTAAATTTCATTTGTTTTATTTTTAACCATTCTACTTTTTGTTCATCTGAGTCTTTTTTGCGGTTTACCAGATTTTGTTTTAATGCATCCATACTCTTGAAATCCTCTTTTTCCATGCATACTACTTCAAATTTGTTCTTTTTAACTCTTGAGTTTGAAATTATGTTATGCCATTGTGTAGGTACATAAATTTCAGGATGATATTTCAACTTTTTTTCTATATCACCAAAATCGCTATCGTTTTGTAGATATGAATGTCCTGGCTCAGCAAACTTATGAACTACTTCGTTTAGGTTTAAATTAGGGGACTGCACTATGTACATCCATAACGCGGCAATATTAATGTTGCGGTTTTGGCCGCCACATGAGTCAGACCATGCAATCAATATGTCCTTATGATCATGGGTATTTATGAATTTTAAAATACATGATCCTATTTCCTGGGAACCTCGTGAGGCAGTGCTCTCATCCCAAACATGCATTGTCCCGACGTTATTTTCAAAATTATGTATACCAAGATTGTAGCATGAAAGCTGCCTCTTATAGTAAACAACTCCTGTGGTTAGTTTAGGAAGAGCCATTACTTTCTGAAGATCAAAACTAATTACTGTAGCTTTCCCTTCTTTACTAATCTTAACGTCTTCATTTATTTCTGAGCGAGCTAACTGTACTTTTCTGTGGTGTAGTTCCTGGTTTAGTTTCTTAGTCTTTAACATTGCTTCATCTTTGTTTTCCTCAGCTGCCTTTATTTCAATGTTCAACCTGTCACATGTTTGACAGGTATCTTTTCGTGGAGATTTAAAACTAAGATTAAAATCACGTCTGAACACTTTTTCATAAAGCGATTGGCTTGGAACTTTGTCAACATTTGTCTCTCTTAAACTATCAACATAGAGTCTGTACATTAATGACAAATTTAAATTACAATCCAAGTATTTTTTTTGGGATTGAGTTCTACAGTAATGACTTACTATGGTAGGGAAACTTTGTATATGATTTTTTATTGACTCCATTGTGGACGGTGAAGATTTGTTATGAGGCACTTTTTTCCCTCTAAGATCACTTAAATTTCCACTTTTTTTCTTAAGCAAAGCACGATGTACTCTACTACTATTGATTTGTAATATTCCCATAAACATTTTTTTGCATACTTTAATATCTCCGTTTTCAGAAGGGATATAAAATTCACGATTGCCTGTTTTTTTTGAAATATCAGTGTTCTTACGACGTCTTATTATCGTTCTACATTTTACAGCACCACTTATTATGCTTGTTTGAGTTTCCCAAGACTGTGACTCGTTATAAAACAAATTAAAAAAACTTTCTTTTTACTGTGCTGTAAGCTTATTTTGGCAGTTTATTTTGCAATTGCAGGAATAGTCATTAAAAGATTTAGAGTGTATGACAGTACCTGAAGTATTGATATATTCTTTACCAGCTGCCCTTTTTTGCTTGCGAATATTTTTTTTCCACTTCTTAGGATCAGATTTTCTCTTCTTATCTTGAGGTTCTTCCTGCCCTCTGGTATTTTTTTCATCTGTAAAAACACAAAATTATTAATATTTTATATAAGTAAATATTTTACATTACTTTTTTATGTTATAACATAAAAATCCTTTGAAACACACATTCACTATGCATAAGACAGACAATTTACGTTCTCTTTTGAAAAAGTGAACCATGTGATTTTAATTTTTTTTTACAATTCCAATATAAATTAATGGAATATATTGCTTCATTCTTATATAGATAGGTAAATACTATGTTCTTAGGTTGGTATAACTGCTCATATTTCACTAGCACTCCCAGTGGACACTGCAAGAAATAAATTTGCACATGGTTCACTTTGGCAAAAGAAACGTTCCAAAACATAACCAAACTTTGATAATGAAGTTTTATGGCAATAAATATTATTATCTTACCTGATTCTGTAATATCCGAATCAGAATTTGGATGGTAATCATCTGAAGACCCATTACTGAAATCAGCGTGTTCATCTTCACTAGAATTTCTATCAACAATGTCATGACGATGTGAACTATGTACACGGGAAGCCATCTTGGACTGGATGATGGTTCACTGTGGCATATGACTACCAGTACTACACAAGGATCTACAGACCGAGAATTTGGCATCCAAATTCCACTGATTCGCGCAATCGTACTTGTAAGTTCGTATAGTCGGCTGGAGTTACAATTTGCCAAATTTAAATGTAATCGTTTCTACTCATTCATATTAATATTATAATGTATAATATATTAAAGTTTTTAATATTGGTAATATTATTAAAGCTTTTAATACTATTTTTTAATATTAAGAATTATATTAAGTAATTAAATATTGCGTCTTACTTAAAAAAAGTACGAGATAAACTCGTTTTTTATATCTTTACGTATGCTAAGGGTAATAAATTAAAATCCTTCAATACAAGACTAAAGGTAGGTACCTATAATTTGAATAAGCTGGTTTTGCCCATACTGACTTTCTAATTCTAATTACCTACTAATTTGCATAACAGTCAGATATTGTACCTGGTCATAATGCTGTTTTAATATTAGGATTTTCATTTTGCTTGTTGAAACTTCATCCGATATTAATTTCTTGGAAATTTTTATAAGGCTGAGAGTACTTAATCGGAATACTCGAGTATTGTTGAAAAAAACTGAAATTGAAGGTACTACACAATCGAAGAACTCAAAAAAATTAAACATTTCCGGTATTCTTTTTCCAGATCGTATTTTGTTTTCGAGATATATTTAAATTTGGGAATTTTTTATTATTTTTCCACTTTTTTCAGGTTCTTTTTTAATTTAATTTCAGTATATAAAAGCCTTTACAATATTATCCAAATTTTATTTGGAAGTTAATCTTAACTGTTCAGAAACAATTTGCTATTTAGGAAATGAAAGTTTGTTTTTTTTTCCTTAGTTCTTAATTTGCTATAACATTTCTCATTTGATTTAATAAAAAATATTGTAAATTCATTTTTTTGAATAATTATAACGACTTACATCCGAGTAGCTTAACACAATTAAAAAAAATATAACGAATACGCTCACAACTCGGAACTGAGTCTTTTCTTCTTTTCGCATAAAATATTACAAATTTATTTAAAATACCCTTTATTTAATATATACTTTATTTATTCATCACAATTAAAAAAAAAATACTAGTCAGCACAGCGGTTGATTTCCATGAAAATACGCTAAGCAGTGATAATGATTGCATGTACCTAAGTTAATATTTTTGTCTTTTGGTTGGTGTTATATTGGA